ATATCTTATACGCAAACAAATATTAGTCGATATAGATAGAGAAAGATTGAGAGAGAATATCATTTTGGTTTATTAAAATAACTCATCGTTAGTAAATATTCATATGACGTAACTTTTAGTACAAATTTTTTAGCCACAGAGCCCACAGAGTAATATCAAGTATACTATAGATAAAAATTTCTCGAATATATAGAACATAATTTACAAAAAAAAACTTAAAAAAGAAAGAGAAAGAAGATTGCGGTTGTGAAACAGGAAAAGGAATATGGAATACGAGCTAGTATATAGTAAAACTTTATATGCGCGCGCGCATACACACAAAACGTTCATACATTTTGTTATCAAATTTTTAGTTCAATTATATGGAAACCACATTCAAGGTATCCAAATTGAAGTTACAAAATTGATACCAATATGCTTCTCAAAATTACGTAAAAAGTATACACCTGTAAAACTGTTTGCTACATGTAAAATTGAAATGTAACTTTTACGACAATCCAGATCAAACACTAATGATCAGTAGCTATATTATAACGTTTAAGTAAATTGTGAAGAAGTTTAATATTTGTCCCCAAAGTACAATGCAAACTATATAAAATATCATGATTTTATAATTCTCCATAATTGCATCCTGCATTTTATTAATTACATTCGTTTCTTTAAACAACTCTTTTACGACACATGAGACGTAAAAAAAATCAATTTGCATTATTTAAATTTCGGATAATAATTAAAAATTATTATTTTCTGCAAAAAAATGACCGAATTTCAAACTGATGAATGAAAAGTTTAATATGCACAGAACGCATGAAAATTTCTCTATTTTCAAACTTATAAAAATGTGACGAATATAATAAGAAATTTTAATGTTCCAGAAAAGATTCTTTAATTCCCTACATATAAATTTTACATTTTCATATTTAATACGAAAATGTTTAATTTTGATGGAAATAATCTATCAATATTATTGAAAATGTACGAAATGTATTGAAAATTTAATTTTTCTTCGATTGTTCTTTTCTTCACATATTCAGAATTATAAACTTCACGGATAATTTTGTTTTGTTTAGTTTATGATTGAATGAATCTGGTTTTATTTAAACAGATAATTACTGATTACTCAATAGAAGTGGAAATTACATTGAAATTATTTTCTGTATTTTTCATGAATTTTTTATTGATATCAAAGAAGCAATAATTTACGAACATTTCTCATTAAATGCGAACAGCAACGTAATTTTCAGTATTCAAATATTCGAAAAGACTGATAATGCGAGATGATAAACACAAGTACCATTATTTCTCAATATATCTTCCCTTGTAAGCCAGTCTCCAACAGATCGTAAACAAGGAGCACACGGAAGCCAAGGTATCGCATTGTAACGTATAATCTCTGCGTTAAGACAACCGCGAAGGAGCAGAATGATAAGGTTGACCTCAATTCATCGCGAATGCTCTCGACCACAACAGTTATAAATTTATTATAAACACGAGACGTTCCAGAATCGTCGTTTTTTTTACCTTTTATTATTAGAGTGGAAAAATTTCGAACAGACCAAAAAATTGGGAAACATAAATAACAGTAATGAGATTCCGAAGCATTTTAAATATGAACAGAACATAAAATTTTGATTTAATGAACAGCCTAAGGCTGTTCATAGCGTTAAACAATTGCCAAAATATATACGAAGCCTTAATATTTTTCCAGGCAACGACTTTTAATAAAGTCACGCAATTTAGTCACGAGTGCTCTTAATTGAGTTAGTTGTATGATATATTCCGTGATTTTTTAAATAAGAAATACTAAAGATCTAACTAAGAAAACGCCATGCAATATAAATAATAAATAAGCCCTTAATCAACTAAGCTTTAAACTAAATAGATAAAATTATATTTTTTCAAGAGAATATTATTTTATCCAAAATTTAATTTAGATTATAATAATAGAAGGAATTACAATGTTAAAAATTAAATATAATCGCACGAAATATTATAATGAAATTTCCATCGAAAAATAATTGGCTACGAATTTGTCAAAAAAATCTGCGGTTGAATGTAATGAGTCAGAATACTGTAAAAGCTTATATTAAATTTTCTTTAAATTCGACGTAATTTTGTATTAAAGGGAAATGAAAGATAATTATGAATTATCGTCTTCTTCCCTCGAGAATGGAACGGCAGCGTCGAGTTATACGCGATATGAGCACGGATAATAAAGCAGATGACGAAAAACAAACGGTTTAACTAGCGCTTTAATCCGCAGCCGCCGTCTGTGAGCAACGACAGTGCTATTAGCCCCTTTCGTACTATTTTCTTCCGTTCTGCACTTTCCGGAAGATTAGCAATGGCAAAAGTAATTGTGCGATACGCGACGAAAACAAATGCAGCGAAACCATGCAATAATGGCAGCAACATACGCGTCAACAGTGCGCACCATGATTCTTCGTGTTGCAGCACTCGCAATAGTCTGACGTCTATCGAATACGACGCTTTTCAAGAAGAATTCGCAAGAGAAAAATCTGTTATTTTACTTTCAGTTCTATTTTCAAGAAAATGGAAAATCTTGACTGACCTATGTATAGTATTTTTTATATCAAATGAAAATGGCTTTCATATACTCACTTTTCTTTTATTAGCACTGTAAATTTTATTAGAAAAGTATAACTGAGAATATGTAGCATACTAAATTTACTTACGTAAATATACTTTCACAGTTATCAATAATTAAGTAAATTGAAACCATCTAACACATATGAATATTGTGTATTAATATTCTTGTAAAAAGATTGCGGAGTGTGCGTGTATGTATATAAACCTTTGAGGACCTTTCTGATAAAGCAATTTATGGAAGATTTTGTAACAGTGTTTAAAGTTACTGAATTTTGATTCTAGTCTAAACATCCTAAAATTCAAATTTTAAAATATAATTTGATTATCGTGAAACTCGATTTGAATAGGTTCTTGTCATAGCATCGCTAAATTTAATGTAGCCTGAAATGTTGAATTTCAAAAAAATAGTAACACTAGATCTCAATAAAGGAGCTAATATCATAGAGTTCACAATCAGAATTTGAAAGTCAAGTTGGAAATTAGTATTAATTAACTGATAAGTTTGCGTTAATGAGCTTTAAATAAAACGAAATTGGAAATTTGATGTTACTTCGTAATTAAAACTTCTCTAAAATCGGATTTTGTGCGCGCGCGCGCGCGCGTGTGTGTGTGTGTGTGTGTGTGTGTGTAATAAGATTATTTTTTTTAATTTTGTGCGCATATTAGATTTATTTTAATTTTTTGTATTTTTAACTTCATAATCGAATAAAGGATTGTTAAATTATTCGATAGATTAAGTTTCATAAAAATTGAGCGAACAGTTTACAAAATAAAAGAGGATAACCCCAAATGGGGTCATCGATTCGTAAAGATTAATACATTATTTTAACGTGTGATTAAAGTGAGTTTTTTTTTGTAGGAAGGAATTTTTTATAAAATTAGATTTTTTAATAAAGATATTTTTGTAATTAAAATTGATCGATTGTTGATAAATAATTCTAACATCCCCAAGAAAAAAATTGTAAAAGCTTACTTAAAAGGTACATTAATAGATCGATAGAATCTTTTGTCCGTTTATATATAAAGATGATTTCGAAATTGGTTAATGCACTACTGACCTAGTCGATAATATACATAATTTTATTGTATCGAAAACGAATCAATGGACATTACGGCGTAATTTTCAGCGAAAAATAAAATTTGCGCAACAATTTGTCTCACTTTTTTCATGTATCACTAAAATTTCGATAAAATCATTTAACTCGATACTTTTGTAATAAGAAAGGAAAAAAAACACTACATAGCCAATATATTAAAACCTGAATGAAGGTTTGCAGCGAAACTTTATGAAAATATATACAATAAAATAATGAAATGAAAAAAAAATGAAATAAATATGTTCAACAAAAGAATTAATTGCATTAAATAATATTTAAGTTACAATATAACAATTTCAAATTTCTGCATAAGAATGACACGTTTTTACTAAATTATTATAGTTGGTTTTACAAATAATCTCGTCAAATAATATATTTTTATTAATTTTTGTAGAACATGCGGAATAACATCGGCAATATTTTTCCAAGAATTAATTGGTTGTCGCTTTGATTTTTTTAGAAATATGATATATGTTACTGATACAAGTTAAAAAAATCGAAAAAATTATAGAATATTGTTTTGTGTCACAAAATATAAATCGTTGCATTTTATTACGAAAAATAAATTTTTGTCAATATTTTTCTGTTTACTACGCTTATAAAAGTATATCAGATTTTAAAGAAAATTTTTAATTTTAAATATTAATAATAAGAAATTTTAAGAAATAATTGATAAAAGCTAAATAATTTCATTTCGATTTTCTTATTACTTGCATTTTATTGAAAAAATCGTCTTTTCATTCCTCTCTTTGATGCGCACTTGTCCAAAGCAGATATCTATAAAAAATACATGGTAAAATGCAAGGACGAAAGGCAAGATGAGAAAGATTCTGTTTGAAAAATGGACACGTATTTCCTTTGAAGACAATCTTGCGATCTCCCTGGCTAATCGGGGATGGCGTTTGGTCTTTTGCTCTCGCGATCTTTAAAGCTGCATTTTCTTCGCAGGCAGACCTTACCCGTTGCAGAACTGCACGACCTACAACATAAATGGTTCCTGGGTGAGGATATCCTGCGTCGAGGGATACGATGGCGGTCTGCCGCAGAAATTCGTTGCCATCGTTGGCAAACGGCGTTTGGAATCATCTCTCCCATTCTGGGAGTTTCAGATGCTCAAGCCGGCGAAAGTCGCCCTTTACGCGGTAAACGCGAAGGGATCGAGCGAGCCATATGCCATAGAGGTTGTCTTGAAAGGAGTAGCCAAATTCACCGGTAAGTTTTCGCCAAGTGCAATCAGGACGATCGCCGAATGATGAGATAACTTTCCTCAAAGTGTTTCACCGCAAAGGGACGTGATTTTAGTTTTGCGATTGACGATCCAATTCGAAAATAGATAGACACTTAAAATAAGATCTGACATTCCTAATATCAGCAAACTTAAATTTATTTTTGTTTTAATTTGTTTTAGCGCTTACTAATATGTTTGCTTAGCACTTACATTTTTGTGTTTTCATTTGATTTGCAGCTCTTCTTAATATATATTTAATTAATTTATTATTTAAACCATTTACATCATGTATTTTTCAGAGCTAATTTTAAGTTACATACTTCTTGGATTTTAACTTACAAATTGAAAAAATCGATCTATTGTATTAATTTCAAACAAATATAAATTGAACACTAAATCCGTAAATATGAATTAAGGAAATTTCTAAGTGAATACCGATTAAGATTAAAAATACATGTTCCATTAAATCATTTTCTTTGCATGACAAAGCATTAGTTTAAGATGTCAATTTTCTTCTATATGTATGATTTTATATAGTACATACGGCTGATAAAAAGCCTCATAAATTACATAGTTAAAAAAACAACTCTAGAGAAAATTCGAGAAACTCTCCTTAATCCTTTCAATCGGGATGCAAATAATCCTGAGTTCATAGAATCGGTATCCTCAAACCCGCCACTGATGGAGCCAAAGCTTTTTTCGTCGTTTCATTGCGCACTCTTTATTCTGTTTTCGAACCCCGGCGAGCTGACATTCGCGTCAAATCGTAGCTTATCGATCGGCTAGCTGGCCGTTCGAATGTTATTCGAACTTGGGCAAAAATACGATGGTGGTAAAAATAGCGCATATTGCACGGGGAATCCGCACTCCTGCGCTGTATAAACTTCCGCATTGTTAAAAAAAGATGCTCGATAAAAAAGTGTGTACTGTAGAAATTACAATGATGAAGAGTTCCGCTTTGTTTAACTACAAAAGATTCTGGACGAACGTGGTTTAATAAAAATTCTCGCAAATTCTGAATGTCCACGGTAGTCCATTTTCTCCTAACGAAAGAAGAAAGTGCAAAAAATGCAATTGTTGTAAAATTAATTAACACAAATTTACTATACATTCACACGTTTTTAAATATATACAGTGAAAAACATTTGTATTTATGTTAATACCGATCCACTCAAGTCCTTATTAAAATTTTACGTTGAATTTTTTAATGTAGCCGAGTGTTAATTTAATATGATGAGATTATGTCATTTAAATATTTTATGTTAAATTGATATATTTAACATTTCTTGTGTGACAATAATATTATTTACGAGTGAACAAATTACAAAAATAATATATTTTAAAATATAAATTCTAAGACAAATAAAATATGTTAATTTAACATACTAGGTATAAATATTAATTTTATTAAAAGAATATGCTGACACAATTTGCTTACAAATTGTGTCAATGTTACATTTTTGTGTAATTTCTTTTACATAATATTTATGTTACTGTCTAACATATTCACCTTGTGCTAAATTGACACAAAAATATGAATAGACTATCTAGGACATGAAATGTGCTAAATTTAGCACAAATTTCCCAACTATGTGCATATTAATAAATAAATACGTGCAATCAATAAATAAATTGCATAAAAATAAAATAAATCAAAGTAAAAAGTTCATATATATATATGTATTAAATGTTCATGTATGTATTAAAAATTTAATTAGACGCATCGATAAAAAATTACAGTACAATATATTTTCATGTATATATGTTAAAGAACATGTCGTATTGCGCCAAGCTATTCGTACGAACGGTAATGCGAACTGGTAATTAATTTATGTTCGACTCGCTTATATCTTGTTCCTGTTCGCGTATTTGGAGAACAAGCGCAAGTTTTGCCCTTCAATTTAGACGACCGTGACGTTATCTCGACCGGAAACGCTGGCGGCGACATGCAAATGATCCCTGTTGAACAGTTCGCCGCGCGCGCTAGGTCAACCCTGGACTAGCTCGTTGCCGGTTTCGTGAAACACGCGCGGTCGACCCTCGCGTAAAATTTATGAGCGTCAAAATTTATGAGCCATTATTATGCATTCTGCTCTCCGCCACGTCCGCATCGCGTTCGTTCTCCTCTATTTTCTCAACACCCATTGGAGGCACGATTTGCGCTAATCAAAAACTATCGTTGCTTTCGTTAATCCTTGAAACGTTCGACCGCAGAGATATGATAAGGATAAGCCCGCAAATACAATTATATTGTATACCATCCCTTTTGATATGTAAAATGAATTGGAATCGTCATGGATTTCCTCGTGAAAATTTGAACGGCACCGATCGTTGGCCGCAGCGTTAATTTTCAATATTAAATATCGACTATCAATTAAAATACGTATTAGTTTTATTGATATAAACTCTATTTGAAATTAACTGATAAATAAGATTTAAAAAAGAACTTTTAAGAGATAAACTTTGACCAATTAGAAGCTACACTCAAATAATATTTAAATTAAGGAAATAATTATCATTCGAAATATATTCTGTACGAGTAGATCGATGCATGATGTATTTTTATAAAATGCCTTAGTTTTTTAAATAATATCGTTAAATATCAAGGCGATTAATAAATACGAATTAGAGCTTTATTGATAGAAACTCCATTTGAAATTAACTGAATAAAAGTTAAAAAAGAATTTTTAAGAAACAAACTTTTGCTAATTAATAATAATAATAATAATAATCTTTATTGATCGAAACGCGCAAATTAAAAATTGCAGTCAAATAATATTCAAATTAAAGAAGTTATATAGTATAAGCGATTAAATTCCGAATAAGTATCCGTATACTTATCAGGAATTTTAGTTTCAATTATATTTCAACAATATATAAACAGAAGAAAAGATGTTTCATTTAAGCACTTGCTTTGTTACTTTCTATTGTCGAGAGGATCATCGAAATCAATGGGAAGTATCGCAAAATCGAGATGCATACCGCAGTGTCTCGTTTTAACGCAAAGCAAAGGGTAGTCCTTCGTTACAGTTAAGAGAAAGGAGGAGCGTTCTGTCGTCAATACGACGTCCCTTAACGTGTCTCTTCGATGCTTCGTTTGTATTCAATTACACCTCGCAACCAATGGCGGAGAATAGAAGCGCTTTGTGCTTTGTTAAATAGCATTTAACTGAAACTTGATTGTTAATTGGAAACAAATTAGCTGGCCGGTTGTTTGCACCATCGTACCGATGCAACGTGGAACTTTGGTGGATGCCAAGGTGATCGAATTACAGTTGTTCCTATGGCACTCGCAATTTATATCGAATACTCTAGATAAGTATTCCTCTGATCGACTTACAGTCAAAGTTTTATTAAAGAAAGAGTTGAGCTTTTACATTGTGAACGATTGTAAGAAATGACTTGTAAATTAAGCGTTTTAGCTAATGTTAAAGACAACGTATAACTTTTTATCAAATTCTTTGAGACAGAAACATAATTTGAGATTTAATTAATCAACGTCTGACGATGGAAATTTAAAGATTGCAAGAAAAAATTTTGATTAAAAAATTTATGACTTTGAAGATTATCCCATGTAATCTTCCGACTATGAGCGTGTGATATCTACAATCTTCGGTTAATTTCAAGTGAACTTTATAACAGAATCTTAATATAAGATTGTAGCTGCCGCGAAGTGCGCTAAATTAGGACACTTATAAACTTTCGAAGTTGCGGCAAGAATTCCTGAAATTTTCTCGTTTTTATCACGTAAGAGGTTTAGATAAAATCTTACAGAAGTGCAACATCTCCGTAATTACAGAAAGTTCATCTGCCTTCATACGATCTTCATATGATCCAATTATCTCGAATATCCCTTTACTATTAAATATCAAAGGTGTAATGGCAATCTAATCTCTTAAATTTAAATAACATTTTGTTGTTTTTAACTTTCATATGTATCAAAATATGAATCAATCCATTTCTGTAATTAGTTTTAAAGTCAACAACATTCGTATTAACATATACACTTAATAAATAATAAACTAAATTTGAGTTTAATTAAATTAATGACATATTGAATAAAAGTAGTGACGACCTAAAGAAATGATTAAAAATAACTCAAATACGATTTGACATTATAAATTTAACATTGTGACATTCGACTCTTTTTAAAATCTATAATCGAATAGATACTCTCCAATTAGATTTTTGTCAGACGAGTAAGCTTCAGTAAAGGCGATTCGGCCAAAAGAGAGAAACGGTAACTTCAGGGTGCCCGATGTACACACACGATGTACTTACACTTATCCACGACGCGATTTAAGCCGAATGATTAACGATGGCGCGGAAACGACTGCGGGTGTCGGGCGCGTCCTTCCCGTAGAGCCGGAGCTATTCCTAATCCGGCTGCTGCAGTTCTCTATCACCCGCCGTTCCTCTCGCCTCCACCGCGTGGAACGAGCGACTCACAAATCAGCCGCAGCGTTAGACCACCGTAATGCAACCTGCCATGAAGTTCGAAACGATCGACTACGGATGCCTTAATTGGAAACAGATTACGTTCATGCCGACGCGTGGGAGTATGCAGAGAGGGATGTTGGACAGGTAAATTGGAACGCCCGGCCGTGTCTGATCCATGGCTGACCGCAGCGAATGCACGAAATCTTAAGCGGGTGTGCTGATGTAACGATTTGTCATGGAACACAATAGGAAAATATTTCCTCCGTCAAATAGATGAATACAGATGGATTGAAAAGAAGAATGTATTTATTCGTATTCAGAAGATAGATTTGATAAGAATATTGTCGAAAAATAATTATTTTTAAGTAATATAGACATTAGTTATTTATTTAGAATAGGATTAAAAATGTAGATTTTTTTTACTTGAAATAGAAATGATTTATCAAAGTTATGAATTATATAATATTAATAAGATAAAATTTGTAATATTCTGCATTTTCAAAATTAATAGTCAATTAATAGTAACATAATTTTACGAAATAAGCAATTTTGTTAAAATATTTAAAAATTTAGATACAGATCTGAAAATAATTTTGTTGGATTATAATTGTATAAAAAACACTTATAATGAGTATAAATAATGCAAAAAATTTTTATATTCTAGCAATCAACTTGAGTGTCCTACATAATTATATTTTAATCAAATTATTTTCAGATTTATATTTATTATAACTAAATTTTTAGATACGTTAGGAAAATCGTTCTTTTTGCATATATTTCTCTTTTAAGGAAGTTTAGAATTATTAGAGGAATTCAATTGATTAGAAATTAACATTTATCGATTGAAATAAGAAAAATTGCGATCGATTTTCATGCAAAGTTGATAACTCATATCTTCATGTTGTTTGTAATTATTAAAGCTTCTTGAATATACAACTGCAGAATTAATTAAAAAAGAGCCATACAGAATTTTATAAATTACATTATAATTCTGACAATAGGATACTACTTTCTTGAAGGTAAACAATAAACAGTGGAGCAGCAATAATAATAATGTTCGTAAATAACGAATAAGCAGGGAATACATGCATTTTCTCTTATAATAGCAATATACCAGAAAAGTACGCTACCGGGGTGATTGTATAAAACGCATTTAAATTTATATACAACTTTTATATATAGAAAATTGCCAGGAAAAGGTTGTCATACGTTATTTATAGAGGAACTAGTAGCGATTTCATTTGTAGGTGAATCGACATCCTCGACCGACATGTCACCGATCTTGATTGGACTTGGTGGCACGGCGACCGGTCTGGGGTTAATCGTGACCGGTGTGCTAATGGCACTCTGGAGGAGACACGCAGCCACCCCGGCGAAACCAAAACCGCCGCAGCAGCCCAGCATCGCGACTTTCGCGGGGAAGGGCGACGAGGAGGACGGCAATCCGGATCTCATACCCACGACGGCCTTGACCAACCATCTCACTGGTAAGTTTATTTAATAGTATATCTGCTAATTTGACGAATCCCATAAAATATAGATAGATTAAAGATAATTAACGAGCATTTCGAAAATGAATTTTATAAATTTATTAAATTATTAAATCATTAATTCAAAGAGAATTTGGATTTCTTTTTATTCTTCTTTGATTTCAGACGTGTTAAAGTATTGCATTATTTACAGAACGAAAAGCCACAAAGTTTTGTGTTTATCAAGTCATTAATAATGTATATTTACAAAAGAAAATAAATTTTGGAATGTCAGTTCTATCTACTTTAAATATTAACACTCAAAATGGTCATCTTTAGTTTTAAGGTGCTTTAGGAATCACATCAACGATGGTTGGCTTATCTTTCTACGAATAAATTTATCCAAACAACCAATGAAACAGTCTTTACTTTACCATCCGAAAATCTTTCAGTGCAAGTCTTTTTGATATTTAATAAGATATATATCTAATTCTAGAATTTGTTTTTTTCTTTAATATACGTTACAAGCTACGTACGTAACAAGCTGACATTCTGATGACGCTGTCATTTTGATGACGAATAACATCAGTTTGTTGTCGCAGAGATGATGTGATAAACAATACTTTACGGTCAAACCTTTTTGTGTATAATCTGGACGTAAGAAATAAGATAAAAAATTGATTTAAGATTATTAAAAATATTTATAATATTCTGGGATATAAATTCCCATCAACTTTTTTAAATTGTCTATTTTTTACTATTAATAAAACGTTCTCGAAACGTCGCGAGAAAATTTATTACATATATCAGACGGCGAAAGATCAAATCGCTTAAATTGGACAGAGCTTTACATTTAGCTCTTACAAGCGCGCCCCTTTAAGAAAGAAGCAGAGGCATATCGTTCGGAACATAACCAGCCATCTCATTCGGTGAATTTCTACTTAGACTGATGGAACTGGCACATTTGTACGAAGATTTTAGGAATATCGGGTTTTGCCTTAGACGGGATAGTATGCGTTAACGGTACTTTCAAGAAAATTGCATACAGATACAATATGCGAACGATTCTAATGCACACCGTATCGACAGATGCATATACGTGAGGTAGGAAATGCATGCATATATATGCATAAATGCAGGGAACACATAAAATGGTAATCTATGCGATAAAAAAACGCAGAAAATTCCAAAAAAGGTAGCAACGGTGTTTTTCGTTTCTAAATCAGTCTCATTTCCTTCGCGGAAATTTAAACCTGAGACGTTTTGTTACAATTTAAATAATATTGAATAAGACTCAAATATACTTTAAGACTGAGTAACTATACTTAATCCGTAAAATGAATTCGCGAGATATCTTGGAAAATGAATTTCCGTTATACCTATTCGAGCAACTCTTCTCAAGTCTACCTTATGGAATTTAAAATTCAATAATATATACTCACACTTCCCTAATAATACTTCGTTGAAATTAAAACTCGATAATTATATTCAATGTTTTATAAAATTTAAAAGTAGTTGAGTAAAAAAGTAATTTAATAATAGCCGCAGCATCGAACGAAATATTCGCTTATCAGGAAACATAGATTTGAAAGATTAAAATGTGTTTTGTCACTTTTTTTCAAATTAATTATTGCTGATAAACTCAGTTCTCTGGCGGTTTCTCGCTTCTTCCCGCAACATGCACAGCAGTGTGCTGTATCTAAAGTATTCTCAATTCTCCTTCGCGAGTAGCGAACTTTCGGCTTCAGCAAACAAAACAGTAAGAAACGATCGAGAGAATGCCACGGAGAAAGGCGCGAGCACCGTTAAAGTTGCTACCGAGAGAAGTTCAAAATACTTTGCGAAATCCGTGGGCTTATTTCAAACCGATTATACGATTGACGCTAAGTCCGCGTCCTGGGACTTCTTCCAGACAGAAAGCTTCCTCGTTACGGGTCCCTGCCACGAAGACCACGTCAGCTGGAAGGACGCGAGATGTCCCACGACGTCCTAGAAGATTCTGATTATCCGAGAGCATCGCCGAACGTGAGTAATCCGATTTCATCTGAAGCATTGGTTCCCAAACTGCGGACCGCTTCGTCGAAATTGACCTCTTGAGAAAAATGCAAAAGCACGACTCTGAGTATTAAATAAAAATTTTTTGAAACAAGAAATTAACGTTATAAGTTTATTATACAGATGTAGATTAACTAGAATTATTTTTAGCTAGAATTATTAACTAGAATTATTAAGTAGAATTTTTTTTATTATTAAATTTATTTATCGATTAATTTTTTTCAGTAGAAAAATAAAAGAAAATTATGTATTTAGTTATTTAAGTTCTAAACATATAGTCAAATTTTGTAGTATATAAGAAAATCAAAGTTTTATTAAAGTAAAAAATTTTGTACTTTTGTATATATCGGTTCTATATATCTACTACGACATTTTCTTGTGAGATGGAACAAGATGTTTAAAATATCTAGATCTTTAAAATATTCAAGGAGAGGGCAGAATTTGGGAACCTCTGATCTTAGAGTGATCTAATTATATAAATACGATAATTATAAATACGATGAACGCGTATACTTGCATGGCTCCCCGATAGCCTCTAACATAGAAAACCACTTTCGAATTCGATCTGGTCTGCTTTACGATTCCGCTTATCGCCGTTTTCTTGCGGGCCAGATTTAGCGAACGAGAACATTTCTGTTGCGTCTGACATTTATTCTGGATAACGGATGAACGTAATAATCGCGTCGAAATACATATATACGTGGAAGCATATCTTGAAAGTTCACGCTTGTCGATGTTTTTTTTGCGACCCATTATAATATTATAAGTCGCGAAGCATGCTTTTGTCTTAAATTTTATCCTACAATAATTTCATACATAATCTCTATATTACGGGAAAATATGAATTTTGTATAGAAATTTTGTATAATTTACCTTCGAGGAATCTAAATTGCTTTCAGTTTATTTATTTTGAAGCGTATTTTTCAATTTTGACTTTCCATTATCGCATTGAAAATTCGTAAAATCCATGGCTGGTGATATATACATATTACAAAAATCTAATATTATAAAAATAATATAAGAGAGAGAAAGATAGAAAGAGAAGGAGGGGAACATCTGTTTTAAAAATTCTGTGCTAGCTCAGGCGAATAAGAAAAATTTCTTGCGAACGGATCGAATTCAATTCCTGGTCGTAGCTTCTACATTTTTCTAAGTATATCTCTGCCAAGACAGGTCTTTCAACTTTAAATCCCCTAGACAAATATCTTCCAAATTCGATTTAACCTAGCAATGATATTGTATCAAACGGTAATGGTATCATGGTATATGATACTGTCACCGCTTGATACGAAAGCTTCGTCGTCTTTTCTCAGTATAATTTCAAATGGAACTTTTACAATAGCTATCATCAACAACAAACAGCAAAACAATTAACAAATGAATAACTTCGCTAGAAAGTGTTGTAAAACAAATGCGAAAATGCAAATTTTATACCACTTTTTCAATACTTTTCGCTCAGCGAGAATCTCACTTTTGTGATAATTTTATTTTCTACGTCAATCAAGTTCCACCATCGAAGTCATTTACTCTTTCGGATTCCTCACTGTATTTTCGTCTCGGTCTATTCAGACATTCTACAGTCTCCAAAGGCCGCACTCGGAGTCGATCAGCAGGAGCATTCAGGAGAGCTGCATTTAAGGGTCAAACGCCGGTTGGGACATTAGAGAAGTGGGCGGACAACAGTCTAGACGGATGGACGAAAAGATCCAGACGTCTGCTGCATCGTCTAACTTCTGGGTCGTCGACCATCGTTCAACAGGGTATAGAAGGCCCCTGGACCATGGCTGATGTTGCAGGCTGGGAGCAGGGAGATGAGAAAAGGAGAAGTCACACGCTTGTGCCACGTTTTGCACGCGTTCAAGCGTACCAAAGTCATTTATATAGCCACTTGATTCACACTACGCCTTTGTAAATATTGTATATAAATAAAACACTTTTTCGTGTTACAACCCTTTCTATCTCGTGTCTTATTCTCGACAACAAATCATTGCCATCTTCACCAGGTATGAATTTTTTTTTTTTTTTTTTCCAGAAAAACGTAATCAACCTTTCACTAAGCAATTAGCTAAAATACAGAGTAAACGAAAAATTATCTCATTGTCACGAGCATAAATGCGTGATTAGAACTTGTATAAAAAAATTATGTAACATATAAGCAAATATAATTTATATATTCTTAATTTTAGTCGAAGTTCCGAAAATGTGTTTGATATATTTTTAGCTCATAGTGCTATCCAGTGACACTCCTGTGGCACTCTGTACTGCAATCTAATTTTCCTAAATTCTATATTAAATTATCTCGCTGTCATGAGCACAAATAAGTGATTAAAACTTGTATAAAAAAATTATGCAACATATATATGCTCATATAATTCATATATTCCTAATTTTAATCAAATTTACGTGAAATTCCGAAAGCGCATGTTTGATATATTTTTATCTCGCAGTGCGATTCGACAATCTAGTTTTCCTGCATTCTGTGCTGAAATATAAGTTGTAATTTTTAAAAAATTTGCCACTGCATTTTTCAAAGAGGTATTAATTGAAAAACGAATTGCGTCGGGAATTCGACGTTTATTTCATACAAGCGTGCGAACTGATCCATTTATTTGAAGATCTTCTGTCTGCTGGATTTTATGGAGCAATCCGCATTTTCTTCCTGCGAACAGCGATGACATGGCGCGTGTTACCCCGCGAGGAAAAGCGCGAGAGTATGAGAGAGTGGCATCACGAAGTAAATCGCATAAAGCGAAGTAACTGCACTGCAGAAACTAGCAGCATCTTTTCACGGCCTCCTTTTACACCTGATTTTAATGCTACGAAACAGGACTCTCTTTGAGCGTGTCCTAAAAATTTTTCAGTTTTATTTTTTGTCCTGGTACCTTGATGGTTCATTTCACTATTAAATGCATAGAATAGCTACTGTAATTGAGCTATTCATGATATAACGTTAACGTGAAACATTATATTAAAGTTTTCCGCTCTTAAATCGATCTTCCGGTCTTAAAACTTTACAATTATAATTAAAAATTTTTCTTTAGGAACTTTAAAAAGTGAGATAAAATTAAAAGTAAAAATTAAAATAAAATATACCCCGTAATTACAAGAAATTAATAAAATTAATCTCAATTTCAAATAATTAAAAAGATTAACACAAAAAATTAAAGTCCCCAGAAAATTTGAATTAGCAAAATTAAATCTTTCAAATAATTTTCTAAAAATTTGAATAAAAAGATCTTGGATTTTATTCAATAAGCCTGAATTGAATTAACAAAATTTAATTTCAATCCCAAATAATTAAAAAATTTTATTTCTTACCTTCATTTTATCTTAATGTTAAATTTTCTGACTTACAACAATTTTGTTAGAATGTTTTAAATAATGAAAATATTAGTAGCGACATATTGTGTTAATAATATCGGGAACATCTGGATAGATCTTTTGCATCTGACAAATGACAGTAATAAGTTACGGCACGTAAATTTTGTTCTCTTCGCCGGAGTATAGCTGTGACGTATTTCAAACTGAACACGTAATTGGCTATTGAAGATGCAAAGTGCACCGTCTGCCATTCGTGCACTACTGCCTATGCCCTACTATTGTCGATTTGCGTTTTATGCGCCCTTTCCCTACGCCGCCAAACGATGGGGAATAAAAATACGCGATGGATAAAAGCACAATATTCCCATATAATCAATAGCAACACAAATCCATATTCTCAGCGCACATTCAGCTTAAATGCGGCTGTTCACTATCGAGCTTTAACCATCTAAATAAAAATAACACGTGCATTTAATACTGGCACCCGCATGATGTGTCTCAGATGGAAATTGAGAAAATACTTTAAAGCAATTGTGATGTTTCTCGGAAAAATCAACGCGACTCAAAATATTCGAGAACTTCTAATTTTGAAGTATACGTATACTGAAAAAAATTACTAAATTTTAATAAATTATTTATTTAAATAGTGCCAACTAAATATTTACTAAAGATATATTTGTTTGACACAAGAGCTATTAATTTGATTTTACTATTTCTTTTTATTGAGTAAATGTTTAGTTGCCTATTCTCAAATAAATATTAAAATGATTTTTTTCTCAGTATTGGAAACGCAGTTTCCCTCATTCACATTTTATTTTACATTCAGAATCCGCGCACCGGCGTGATTTTATTTTTGTCAAAATAAATTCATCTGTATATTTGAAAATTAAAACGAAAAATCTTCGTCGTTCAATAATTTATCCCGAAGGATAAAAAGGATCAGAATTGTCTTACGGCGAATGTTCCATGACAAGGGATGGTCTCCAATGAAGGAGTTTGTGGAAGAAGTCGCGCAGGGATCAAAGCCGAACTCAAACAATGAATTTAGAAGATTCAGGCGAGAGTTTAATCCTTCGAGTGATTACGGATTAAAATATACCATAGTATTGGCTTACTTATATATGTATCTGTACCCTTGGATGTTTCCTCGGCGCTGCCGTTACATCCACGTTGGACTAAAACTTTTATGATTTCACGTTTGGTCGCGTACGTTTAAGTTTGCACGTACAAACTCAGTCAGCTACCAGTCACAAATGCCTAGTACATTTACATGCACAAAACTCTTCGTGTAACTTTCATTTCGCGTCACTCTCACGGAAAGAGCGAATGCCTTTTGAAATTCATCTCAGCGTTAAAGATCAAATATTTCCACTGAGATATTCGTGAAAAAGCGACCAATTCGCAGATCAAGGTATTATTCAAAAAAAGATTTATCTTTAAGTAGATGGACGGCTAAAAATTTTGTGAATAGGAATCTTCAGGACATCCCAAAACATTTTAATTTTATATTTTTTATGTTATAATTAAAATATCATATTATGTTAGAGTTAAAATCACATTAGTCTTATAAGAATAGAGGAATGTAAAAGTAATAACTTTATAAAACTTCTGGGCAATACTTTTTATTCTCTAGAACTTTTCTAGAACAAGATTTTAATGAAAACTAAAATAAGATTTTAAAAAAAGTTAAATTCTAGTAGCAATTTATTGATACGATATATTTGTTAAACATTGGAAATATATTGAGTCAATATTGTGCCAATAATTTTGCTACTATATAAGGTGCTGCGGCCATCCCGCTATTCACCTAAACATTAAATACTTTTCGGATCTTACGCGTTTAATATGTTTGATGGAATTTGCTATATTTCAAAAGAACATAAAGAAAACCCTTGGTGTATGCAGGAAGTTTATAGAATCATCGGTATATAAAAAGCGCATTCTTATTCTACATACGATTGCAACAAAGGCGTCATCAAATGCTGCGAGCATTTTCCACATCAAAACGAAATCCTGCAAGATCCGGGAACTTCGTATAAATCATCTTTACAACACCGGCTGCGAATAAAAACTTTGTTAAACGGCGCGGACATAAATCATCGGCAGGAGGAAGTCAGCGAAGTTTTACCTCAAAACCAACTAAAGATAATGCATAATACGCGAAGGTACGCGGAAAAACGCTAATTGGTGGCCGCCGGCGGTTTATCAATCTCCGTTCTCGGCGAACGAGTCTGCGGCCTGTCGTTCGCGAGAAGATCCTCCACAGAATCCAAAATCTCTATGCGGGATTTACAGATAACTGCTGTAATTTGCTCCCGCCTGATCCTATTCACGCAAAGAGACACATCTCTCCTAATTTCTTTTATCCCAAGGATTACGGCTTCCCCTGCGGTGGTCTACAAGTGTCACGCGGAAAAATCCCAACGTCGATAGGCGATAAGTCTCTCGGGAAGACGAAAGAAACGCTCACCTCAGCAAGGAATTGCGTGAAATAACGAGTCACGAGACACTTCTCGAGATGCTTCTCTGGCATTTGATCATAAATACAGCAGAAAATAGAACGTTCATAATATGTAGTTACAAAAAATACGTACTGAAAATTCATTATCTATATGGGAAATTATTAATGATGTAACAACGATAAATTAACAACGATAAATTATTCATATTTTAACAATCGTGTGTGTTATTTTCAAATAGTTTGTCGTTAAAATTTATTATTTTAAAGGTAGCTTGTTATTTCCAATAAATTTGTCATTTATTACTAATTTTATTATTCGTGTATAATTTATTTCTAATCAGTTTGATATATCCGAAAATTCTGTTGTCTAACAGCTAAAATATATTTAAGGAATTATTCTTCTAATTTAAAGAATTTAAAGAAAAGAAAAAAACAATCAGGTTCTCTGTTAATTGTTATGCTGAGAGAATATGCACGTAATATGAAACATAATTTTATTAAACTTATTATTATATTACAGGACATATTAATAATACTACAGGCAGGCAAAACAATGCACATAAAACCACCTATTCATTTACATTGTCCCAATTAGCTCAACATGTTAATAATTGATATCAAATATTTCCAATGTAACATATCACAAAACATTTACATGTAATCGATATTATTTCAATCTCCAGCCTCTTTATGAACTTACTTCCGGAATTTTAATGATAAAAATACAATGGAAATCTGCTCTATTATATAATATTATGTATGAATTCCGATTTTGAATCGTTCATCATTTATAGATGAAAGAAAATAGAAAATAATTCAACAATTATTTAGAAAAGCAATTTTCAATTTTCAATTAGGAATTCTTCAAAAATTGGAAAAATACAATAACATTTCGCGGAATACACTTCTATTAATTTGATTTATATTTTTTATTGGAAATTGTAAACAGTTAAGTGCTCGACTCGATTTTTATCTATCACGAGCGTATTCGCGAGCAGAGTAGCAATTTATCAAATAAATTACCAAACGTCTCTCGAACGCTATCGGAAAAGCCCCTGGCTTCATTATCGTTCGTTCTCGGCATGTGTTGTAGTCTTTCGTCGAATTCTTAGAGAACTCGCTAAGTTGACCAAGAGATCCTCGTTACGGTTATTTACTGAAGACCGGTACTGATTAATTCCAAACTGTTCCCCTCGTCCCTCATCCCTTGTGAATTCCGAGCTGTGTATGCACGAACCTCGTATCCTGAATCTTGCTCTCTCCGGCCTTCGTCCATTCGGTATTTGCGGTCGATAGACTCAGAACTACACTCGCCTGTTTGCTACCAAATATTACCAACAAATAAGACGATAAAGGATGCTCCAGGGAAAGTTCGGAAAGGGTCCCCCGATTCTCGTGAAACTTGATACAAACATCAACGGAAATAATCCTGATTGATTGATTTTTCTCGAGGGAGAAAAGTAGAACGCGATGGCGCCATACAATCGGCTGAATGCGACAATATTAAAGATATAGGCACAATCTTTTTTTTTTAATGTGTACACAGACAAAAAAAAGCATGTATACTTAATTAACTTTAATTTCGGTTTAACTTGCTATTTATTTTATCTTATATTCTTAGAAAAAGATAAAGCATACATTGAATTGCAATTAAAGTTAATCTTACATTGGTGGAACTGAACTCTAAACGCTAGCAACAAACGCTAGCTACACAAACAAACTTAGGTTTCTATCTGCTCTCAATTTAAAGCTCTAGTTTTACAAGAGTAGCGCAAGAATCCACCATTTTTTATCTAATAACCATATCATATATATTAAGAAATTACTTATTTATTAGCTTATTATACTGTAAGTTCACTTAATATTTATTACTTACTTATTGGACGATAGACCAAGTTCAAAAATGCGGTCAAAATAGTTAACAGAAAGGTTAGTAAAGCTCTTTTTCTTATTGTCCCTCTAAATGGATTTCCTGATTTCCTCCTGATGTAGATCACAATTACTACGAATTCGTCCATGAAACTTAAAACTTGCGCACTACTCTTGTAAATGTAGAGCTTTACCCAAATTAACATAGTAACGGCATCTGTTGGCGCGATAACAAAAGATTAGTTCACCATTTCATCAATAGATGGTGCCACTATGCAAATTCGGCGCATTCGGAGATAACTATTTTTTTATGTTTCATATAGAAAAATTTCTCAAAATTGATAACAATATCATATGGAATTGCCGTCCAATTGTTAGATATTTTTTAAACATTTTATAATCAACATCTTACTCAATAAAATGTGATACTTCTAAATTTAAAGCCTCAAATTGATCGATGCAACTAATGATAATTAAAACACTTGCTTAGCTTGAAATATAGAATTTATTTTGTGTGTGTGTCTATTTATTGGAAAAGCAATTAAATCTTTCATATTGCAAATATACAAATTAATTAATTACATTAATTATACATCCTTTGTTCATCTTAACTTCACTTACGAGACATCATGTTAAATAAATTTTTATAAAATTATTTAATAATATCAAAAGAGTCAGTACCAGAAATTTAATTATAACTGTATCAACTTCGACAAATTAAAAATATATTTCTTTAATATAAGAAAAGTTCCTTTTTGAAAATCTATTAATATTAATTATTATGTATATATGAAAACTATGAGACATATTGACGCATGCATAGCATATATAAATAATTTCAGCTTCTTTGGTAAAAAAGAAGTAGCTTGTCCTCTGTTTACTTGCATCTGTTTAATTATCAAATGGAGAAGGTAGATAAGTAGATATGCAATATGTCATCAATGTGTTTCCCTCTCCCTCGCGTAGCATCGAGCTCAATGTCTGCCATAGCGTCGATAGCGTCACGTCCTATCAAAACAGGTCGCGAGCCGCGTCTTGTATATCATCATCGAGAACGAGCACAGATTAATTAAAAAAGATTATTAAGAGGAATCATGATGTCGCAAGGAAGAGGTAAGTCGCTGATCTGCGAATCTCCTTGTTTCGCCTTCATTATCAAAAAATGTCGATTCCACGTGAGAACGAGAGGCTGCATGACAGCTGATGAGCTTACACTCGGAAGTTTGTGGCGGCGGTGATATAAACCCGCTTTTGAAGAGAGAGAGCTTGAGGGGGATTAATTTCAAGATTGAGGGATCTTTTCGAACTAATACCTTCGAGTTCTGAAGAAAGTGGGTTATATCGTACACATTGCTATGGATTGCTTTTGTAACAATCCAAATTCTTTATTCCCTTCAATTTAAAAATAAAGACTTCTTTAAAATAATTTATATTTACATTAACGTTGCATATTTTAATGCTCTAATTTTGCATGTTATCATAAGTTAGTTATTATATATAATGTTGATTGAAACTCATAAAATTTAGTTTATCATAATTCAATTTGTTGTAATAGGTATATAATATACATCAACTTTTTTTATATAGTTGCAACTTTATCATAGCTTACTAAATACTTCTCACATTAACTTTATTTTGTCATAATAGACATGTATATAACAATGTACTTTCTTAAATAGTCTATAACTTTGCCACAGATTATTAGATATTTGTTTTTTCTTTTCATATTGTTTCATATTCATATTCTCTTAATTTTGCAATATCTTAAGATACTAATACACCCCTCTGATTGTTCATGACATCTTAAGACTTAAGACAATCCTAAATGTAAAATCCGACTATAATATGAATACTGCTCTGATTAGTTCATCCTAAGACAGTCTTAAATATAAGAATCGATTATGAATATTGGCAATAAATATTTGCTTCCGTCTTCTTACTAATTGGCATTACTTGCAGGTAGGAGAAATCGCAAACATCATGATAAAGAGAAAATAATCAATCTTGGTGACAAAGGCAGGGAGGTGATAGAGGACATAAATGAGAACAGTCAAGTAATACAACAATTCCACGAGTATGCAGCTGAACTAGATGCCAAGCATGATCGTTATGAAAGAATCTTCAAGATTAATCGGGATGTAGGCATCGAGAGCAAAAGAATCATTTTTCTGTTGCACACCATCGATAAGGAGAGTAAACGGAATGCTGTGCTAGACACAGCCAAGACAAGACTAGATAACGTAGTACAGAAATTATTTCGAAATATCGCAACCGAGTTGGACGGTCAGGATGCTTATCAGTTCCACAGAGCCTATCGTGCAGGCATAGAAGAATACATAGAGGCGCTGACATTCCATGAATATCTGCAGAATGGTGATATGCAAGACTGGTCCGCTCTGGAAAAAGCATTGACATATCACACAACTTCATCTCCAACCGATTCGTCGGGACAAAGTACTTCTAAAACAATGCAAGTCATGGTCACGCCAACGGACTATATTCTGGGAATAGCTGATCTGACCGGAGAGCTGATGCGAAAGTGTATCAATAACTTGGCGGTAGGAGATGTGAGCAGTTGTTACCAAACGTGTAATTTTGTCAGAAAGATATACATAGCCTTCTTGGGCTACACCAGTGTAGTACATAACAATGAAGTAAATAAGAAAATTATCACGCTCAAGCACAGTTTGACCAAAATGGAAAATGCATGTTATACTATCAAAGTACGAGGATCCGAAATACCAAAACACATGTTAGCCGATGTGGCCATTGCAGCAGCTGAGGAATATGCTACTGAGGACGATGAAGGATATCAGGCATTTTAATACATGACAGCACAAATTCCTTTTAACATAGATTATTTAATTATTTTTTAGTTATTGTAGACTTATCAATCTGATGCGAGATAAATAATCAATAGTATTTTATACATCTTACAGTATTGAATCGAAAATTAATTAGTAAAGAAATTGTACTCTTCCAATAGTATATCATCGATTATTTCAATTCAATTCTGTTAATTACTTGTGTTAGTTTTTGTTAATTTCGCAAAGATTGCATAAAAGATTCTATAACAAAAA